TGATAGCATAATAGTCTTCAGAAGCAATAAAGAATAGAAGAATAATTGGAAGACAGGCATTAGCTAGCCTGATCAGACTCTGGAAAAGCACCTAAATCTCAGCTGAAGAAAGGACAGAATCCCTGCTGTAAACCTTCCCCACAGATATAGGGGTGGAGAAAGTAATCTTCTTGATACTGCTCCTATCTCACCAATCTGTAGTATTTGCTGTTATATGCACTTGAGGTATTAGATTCTAGTAAAATATTAGTGTCTGGTATCAAACCTAGTGCTAAAAAGTAATGGATGGACCCACAAGTTATAACTAGGGTTTTTTTGTTAAACATGCTTATTTTACACAGCCAAAACACATCAGGATCACCACTGTTGCCCTGCCTAGAAGCCCTAAGACCACATTTTTCTCATTGTTCTCTTTGAAGTCAGACTCCATTGAAACCAATTTTCAAAACTATTTAAAAGATGTCTCTACAGCACAGAAGTTAGAAAGACCATAAGTACTGTTTTACTCTTTAAAAATTAAATCAAATTTCACAACCAACCTAGAAATTCAGGACTTCATCTTGATGTCCTTCTTTGTTGTTTAATTCAACATGATATTTGATACATTGTACTCTTAGTAATGTAGTCTCATCTATTTAATTTTTTTTTCTATTTGCAGTCCATTGACATCTTCAGTTTATTCCTTGGCTAACAAAGGCAATCCAGGAAGAAACAAATTACTTTGGTTCTTCTGAAATGACAGATTTGACTTAAACAGACATATCTGCAGACTCTTCAGGAAAATGTATAGGAACAACCTTTAATTCATCATATCTTGGATGGTCCTTGTATTTCACAATATTGTCTAACCACTACGACATTGTTTGGATTTCTGATGTAAATGTGTCTAGCTTTGAAACAAACAAACAAACAAAAAAGTGAGCAGGAGAAAGAGAAAATGATGATACAGGTTAAAAATACCACATAAATTTCTGTCTCTGAATTGAATCAAAGGACAAGAATATGAACTTCAGAACTAAGAATTCTCATGCCTCTCTGCTTAGTCCCACCTTTCTTTCTCTTTTGCAGAATTTGAAAATTAAAATTCTTAGAGGAAAAGGTTATAGACACTTCCTACTTCTTTGCTTTGTAGATGGCAAGCTGAAATATATCTGGTAGCAGTCACTCCTGCATATTCATAGCTAAGAGCTTTCTCTACATTCTATGGCTTCAGTTATGTTGAAAACATGTCAGCATTAAAGTAGTTAACACATAAAAGCTACAGTTAATTCTTCAAAACCACATAATTTTAACCTTCTTGTATGTTCATATTTTTTTTAATGGAAAAATTCTACCAAAGCTGTAGGTCATTTTATAGCTACTATGTAATTTGATAGTGAACATCCAATCTAAAAGTTTTTATAAGGAGTTCTTAACCCTTAAATTCTATGATTCTACTGAAGCTACACAGAGTTGATTAAGTTTGTGATATAGTGCATATCATCCTCTGGCAGTAATGCTTTTGAAATAGACATTTACTTTTCTGGTACAGGTTTTGCAAATATAGAAGGACTGAGTGGAGTAAGACAGCCTTGCACATCCAATGGCCACATACATACATACATATGTATATGTGTGCAAGAAGTTAAATTAGAGTATTTTTGAAGAGTTTTAAATAACTTTGTAATCTAAATCTTTCTGTAACCTTTCTAATAAGTTTGCTTGTGTGGTTCTTTTTTTTTCTGGTAGTAGAGATTTGGTGCTATGTGGTTACAGTTATACTATTGATTAGGGTTGGTTCAGCTGGATAACAACACTAAATTGATGAACACCAAGGAAAAGAGGTCACTTCATGCACCTTTCCAAAGGCATTACATTTTGCGAAATAGACTGCAGGAGAAGGATTTTTTGAGGAGAACAAAAGGAAAACTGGGGCCAGCAGGAAGCTTCATCTTAAGGAAGGCAGGCAGGACAAGGCAGGATGTGTGAACTGCTCTTCTGAGCACAGCAGAAGATTATGGACCATATTCTTTTCTTGGCACTCAACACTAATACCTTGAGCAGATCACTTTGCCATATACATTTCCTCACAACATAGTTTAATTCATGTTTGTTATGATCTTGGGGTTAATGAACCGAAGACAAACACCAGCAGTGGAACTTACTGTGATTTTTTTTTTAAATTGTTCTGGGTAGTCTCCAAATCCACTGTTTTTCTATGTTCTGAAAAGGAAATGTGTACAGATCTAGATGTTTGTTAGGTTTTTAATTCTGTGATGTGCTCCATCTGCAAGTAAAACTGTCTTTCCTACTGCCTATTGAAAACGTTGTGAGGAACTGCTTATTTTATACTTCTAATAAGAACTGGGTTTTTTCTTTATGTATTTGGTGTGTGATAAAATAATGTCCAAATATGTTGCATTTCCTGATCTTATCCATGATAATGAAGGTGTGTTGCTGATTTCTGTGTTGTATATCTGAAATGACAGATTATGAAATGACTGAAATGACTAAATTATGCAGCTGTTTCTTACAATACTACAAAAAATGAGGTAAATTGCTTAAAAATTCGATTTTATCTTTGCACATTTTATCCATACACCAAAAAAAAAGTGCATTATTTCTGTAATTTCAGCCAATCCTACAATGAAGTCCATTACATGTTTTCTATTTTGGCCTTGCAATTACACAAACAGAGACAATGCAGAGAAGAGCATAAACAAATTAATTTGTAACAAATGGAATGAAAGTACATTTTGACAAAAAGAGGGTTACCATGTTATGGTTCTACAATCTTTCACCCTTCCATATTTCTACACAAAAGCTGAAGGTGACTTGAAACTTTCCTGAATAAAAATCATACACATGAGGAAAAGTAAAGCTTTATATTTTATAGATTATGTTTAACACCTATGTTACAACTTAGCATGGAAAAAATTGGTGTTTCCTTGTACTATGAAAGCTTCTTGTGTGCTTGCAACTTCTTTTGAGTCTGAATTATAAAAGAGTGATATGATGAATGCATTCTCTTGTGTTTGCCAATTTTACAATCATGACATCATAGAATGGTTTTGGTTGGAAGAGACCTGAAAGATCATCGAGTCCAACCCTACTGTTGTTACTAGACCATGGCACTAAGTGCCACATCCAGTCTCATCTTGAAAACCTCCAGGGATGGTGAATCCACCACCTCCCTGGGCAACCCATTCCAATGTCTGATCACTCTCTCCGTAAAAAATCTCTTCCTAATACCCAACCTAAACCTCCCTTGGCAGAGCTTGAGTCTGTGCCCTCTTGTCCTACTGCTGATTGACTGGGAGAAGAGACCAACCCCCACCTGACTACAACCTCCTTTCAGGTAGTTGTAGAGGGTGATAAGGTCTCCCCTGAGCCTCCTCTTCTCCAGGCTAAGCAACCCCAGCTCCCTCAGCCTTTCCTCAAAGCACTTGTGCTCAAGTCCCTTCACCAGCCTCGTTGATATTTTTGCCATCTAGTGTTTGTTTAAAGACTTCAAGTGATGGGCAATCTGCTTGTAACCCTCAATAAATTGTTTAAATGGTTAATAAATCTGAGTTTAAAATTCCATTCCTTTTTTTCCAGGTTCTAAATTCAGAGCCCACCCACTGCGTAACCCTCAGTTAGGAGTCACACAATGAACAGGTATCTCCTATCTCCCTCCCTGCAAAAGTCATTAGTCATAGTAAGAGTCTCATTAAAAATGACTTGCTGAATGATTTTGCACTTTTGCATGATTCTTGGTGTAGGCTATTCCTGAGTAATATATATTGCAATTTATAAATATTTCAAATTCAGAATATGAAGTTAATTAGTTAATGTAATGTAATTAGTAAAGAGAAATCCTGCCAGGTAAACAGATTCCCAATAGTGTACCAGAAATTATTCTGAGGAAGTTTGCAACAAGTATTAGTCTTCAAAAGGAAGTACCTGAAGGGAGTCTACAAGAAAGCTGGAGAGAGACCATTTACAAGAGCATGTAGTCACATGGCAAGGGGCAATGGCTTCAAACTGAAAGAAAGTATTAGATGTTCGGAAGAAAATCTCTGCTGTGAGGGTGGTCAGGCACTGGAACAGGTTGCCCAGAGATGTTTTGGCTGCCCCATCCCTGGAAGGGTTCCAGGCCAGGTTGGATGGGGCTTGGAGCATCCAGGTCTAGTGGAAGGTGTCCTTGTCCATGGCAGGGTGGTTGGGACTAGATGGTCTTTAATGTCCCTTCTAACCCAAGATATTCTATGCTTCTATATTTATATTGTCAATGTAAAACTCCTTTTATTTCTTTTGTTCAATATTTCCTTAAGAGTTCTTTTCTTCCAGAGCATTCCTTTAGGCATAGTCATTTCTTGAACTTTTTGATAAGAGCCAACATAGAAGAAGGACAAACACTCAAAACAAACTGCATTTTAAAACATTCTTTGATATATTTGTCTGACTCTAAAAAGCTTATACAGGAAGTGATTATGTCTAACAAAATGTGTGATATCATGTGCATCTGAGTACCTTGGCTAAAAATTACTGACATCAAACTAGATCCTTAGTCCTTTTCTTCATGTTTCTTTTGTCTCTGTCTATACTGTGTTTGTTATTTTGTGTTGGGGTTTTTTAAATCAGATTTCTTTTTATCTTACACCTCTAACATATGATTTCTAGTCTGAGTGATTATGGTTCTTTTCTAAATCAGTCAAGTCAGTTATGCTCTCTCTATACCTCTGAAGGTCTCTATGTATCTCTGAAGAGATTTAGGCTCTGATTATGGAAAGCACTGGAGTATATAGGTGAATATGATGCAGAGAGCAGTTTCCTGGATCAGAGCAGTGAATGATCCTTTTGTTATTTTTGGTCCATTTTTATTTCAGAACTGTTGTGTTAGGCACAGAATTACCGTCATCTCCTTCTTATGTTGCAACTTAGTCTTGATAGCTGCAACTTCCAGTAACATTCCAGCCCAGTGACTCATAGCAGATGTAAGCCACAACTCTACAGATTTTAATAGGAAAACAATCGCAGCTTGGGAAGGGCTCTGGAATTCTTTGCATCAGCTTAAGAAGATTTAACAACTTTGAGTTCTGTCCAGAGGTTAAAGGTAAACATTTTAGGTACCTGTACGGGAAGAAGGAAGACTTTGGCTAATTTCTATAGTTCTGGTTTAAAAGCAATATATTTTGAAGGCCATAGAAGTAGTGTAATGTTGCTAATGGTGTATGAATGTTTTGCCAGGATCTAGCTGTTTTCCTACATTTCTAGGTAGTTAATAAACCTAATATTCAAATCTGTAGTTTCTAAATTTCTGTTCACTATGTGGCTGTATGAACATGGCTGCTTTTAAAATCCAAAAGTAAATCAAATAATGAATTATTGTCCATTTTTCAGATGAGGAAAATGGGGAAATTTTTTTAACACCACCTTATTAAAACTAAGCTAAATTTGTGCATGATTTCAATCATTAAAACCAGTTTGAATTTTAAGAAAGCAAACAAAAATATTTCTAGTCTTTACCTATCCTTTAAGCAGATTATCTCATATTTATTGTACTTATTAGCAATGCAATTCTTATTGACACTGTGCCAGCAGAAACAGGGATCTGTATTCCATCTACTTTGCCATCACCAGAATTCAAAAACAAAAGAACAGGCTGACAGCTCAAAATTTTCATAGCACAGAATTTCTTTAATGTCCTCTAATTGATTTAGTAAATTGCTATTGAAAGACCTGGGAAAAAAAACACATCAAAATTAGAGAAAATTTGAACATAGGACTGTTGTCTGTGTCGCCTGTAAAGAAAGCCCAGGCAGGGAGAAGGAAAGAGGTATCTTTCTAGAATTTTTATTCCGTAGCTTTGGAGAACAATTTCTGCACAGCTGTGCAAGTGCATATTCCAGATGTAATCTTTGAATAGTAAATGAGTAATCTCATGGATAAAATTTCAAAGTTTCACAAGTGTTGCCCTTAAACTTCATCTTATTAAAACAGAAAGTGATTCTTTTTTTTTTTCAGCTAACTTCTAAGGGCTTGTGTTTTCAACCTGAAAATATTACACCAGGCTTTTCTCACTCTGTCAGATATGCGATAATTAATCCATGTCTACTGTCTGAGATTAAGATTTTCCCTGAAAGGGATAGCCCCTGCACAATTCTTTTGTCTTTTCTTTTTGTTAAATCAACACAGATGTTATAACAAAGCCTTGGAAGTCTCTCAGCACTTATTAACTCTTCGGGTTCATCTGTGACTTGGATTAAGTTTTGTAATTTTTTGCAGAGCTTTTTAGAATGAACATTTTTATTGCATTGTACGTGAATGTTTATCAGCAAATAGCTGTATAACAAAAAGGGTAAATTGTAAATGACTGAAGAAATTAGTTTAAGAAACTGACTTTCAAAGGAATCTGCCTAGAGCAAGATGTTAAGCTTACCTCGAACAGAAATTTAACTTTACATATTACCAAAGAGCATGGATGTGCATTTTCAGAGAACTGTTACTAATACAATCATCACTGAAACTTTTGGTAGAAGTGTGAAAAACTAAATGAACAGATACCCACATTAATTCTAAGACCGAACCTGTCGATTTAAGTAGTGTATGGAAGGTGGTTTGAACCAATTTTCTTGTCACTGTAGGGTTTACCACTCAGTGAATCTCATGTCACTGCAACTGTGGGACCAGGTGAACTACAGGAGTTTGTACCTGCTGAGAAACTGGCTCAAAGTTGCAAGGTCAGGGATCAGCACTGCTGGCTCCCCTTGTCTGGGTCTCCCTGCTGGGCTGTGACAGAGTCAGAGAAACACTGTTAGGTCACCTATTTCCTTTCAGAGCTTGAGTTTTCATGTATCTTCCTAATTTCTTTTCCCTTTCCCCTTTTTTTGGAGGACACCAGCACAAAGATTTTGGTCTCCTCAGCCCTACTAAAGGTCCACTCTGTTGGGGTTTTTTTACCTGTGTCTTCTCTGTTTCAAAGTCTTCCCCATTTCTGACTGATAGATCTGCCAAATGGAGCTCTCAGTTGCTCCCTCTTTATAAGCCTCTTAATTGTCTTAACAATCATAATGAACTCCTATTGTGAGTGGTTACAGGATCAATACTCCGTCCTGAGCTTACTGTCCAGCTTGCTTTCTTAAAAATGAAACCCCAGGACTAAAATACCCTGACCAATGTATTCAAATCATCAAATTTAGAAATTTATGAGACTGTTATTGTATTTTTGATACATCTTTTAAGCATGTCTTAGTTCAGTGCTAAAGCTGATACATGCAAAGTCGTCTTCCAAGTGCAGCCATTATGAAGTCTCCACAAGAGGAACTTGCTTTAGAAAGAGACATCCTTTAAATAGAAAGGTGACTTCATCTAAAGGTGACAAACTAAACCAACTGCACACAGTCTACACTCCTCAGTTCTTTGTTCTTTTTGTGCAGCTTGCTCATAGTAGCTCACTATGTGCCTCATAGTCTTCTATTTTTTAATTTTTTTTTTCAACGGCATAAATTCCTCTGAACAATGCAAGATTTACTTGCTAGACTTTTTTTAAAAAAAGAATACTGTATTTGTAAAGCTGTGCAGCCCATTGAAGATTGATTGTGTTATTCAGATATTCAGAGTCTGAAATCGTGATTGAACAGTTCAAATATTATGAGAGGGAGAACACTGTGATTTTATAACAAAAATTACAGAAGATGAAGCAGAACACTTAAATATGAAACTTCCAGTGAAAAAAATATAGTCCCTTCTCTCCTAGAAAACATATTTAAAATGTGCATGGGGTCAGGATAGCAGTTACCAGAGACAGATCATTTGCAGGTTATCCAGATAGCTAATGGACTCTTTTGGTTGCTCCTGGCACAGACAGTGTCATCCCAACAGATGGGAACAGCTGCTTTCAAAACAAAGGTGGCTGCAATAGCTAGAATTACTACTGTTATAAGGCTAAAGTGCATGTTTTATCCTGGCAGAAACCTCTGAAATCTAAATAGCAGAATTCATTACCAGACAATTCTTGCAGATTTCTCATACACACACACACACACACACACACACACGTTCATCTTTTAAACCTGTAATTCCTAGGATTTACCACTTCAAACAATATCAGGACTTGTTCCATTGAGTTATGGTAAAGTTTTTAATTCAAATAATATAACATTTATTTGGTTAGCATGAAAAACAACTGACAGCTTTAAATTCAGAGACTTTATGACATAGAAATAACTTCACCTAAGATTTTCATTTGCTCTTTCTACTCAAGAAACATTTTACAGGCAAGTTTTTATGACATAGAAATAACTTCACCTAAGATTTTCATTTGCTCTTTCTACTCAAGAAACATTTTACAGGCAATTTTCAATGGATTTCTTTGGAATCCTAAGAGAGAAACATAAGCTTAGTATAGTGCTTTGCAGCTTAATGGTAGATGTTGTATGTGTCCAAAGTGCTAAAAAAGAGTTCTGAGCTGTCTGTAACATGAGTCAGTGGGTACAGAGTACCCTCAATCCTTCGTGTCTGCATCAGTCCTGTGCAAGAAGTGGTATAACAAGTTATATACTGATACACATAGGCCTCGCAGCTTTCAAATATGCTTTCAAACCAGACTGTAATTTTAAAAAGTATCATAAATATTTTCTAGGTAGGTGCTGAAAACCGAAATTTGGCTTGGCTGTAATTTGTACTCTTGCATGAAGTTTTCAGACATTGGTAAAAATAAAGTTGTACTTGTCCAATTTTACATGACTTAAAAGACGTTTCTCATAAGCACCTTGTTTGTACAGTAAAAAACACAATCTGCAAAAGTTCCACTGGGGTTTTATACTAATTCCTGCAGAAACATGAGTGGAAATTTTTGTACAGTTGATGTTTCAATAAGCACATGCTGATACTGACCTCTATTATAGGTCTGACACTTTGTCTAACCACAAATGTTTTAACATGTCACCATCCCCAGAAGCATTCAAAAAACATGTAGATGTGGTGCTTAGGGACGTGATTTGGTGATGGACCTGCCAGTGTTAGGCTATGGTTGGATTCTACGAGCTTAGTGGTCTTTTCCTTAATGATTCTACGATTCTGTGTAGTTAGTTGATTCAGTTTAATAAGTAGAAAAAAGAGTGGACACATATTCTGGTTTAAACAGTGATTAGCATGTGCTAATAGCGGTCAATTGAAAGTTGTCATCCTTGTCACTGTTAGAATAAAAGCTGATAACTATTATGCATTTTCCCCCCAAATTACTCTATAACAGTAACATTATCTTGATCCTCTCCTGGTGCACACAAGTTACATCTTTAGTTCAAGGACAACTAGCCCCACTGAGATTTTAATTACTTGAATATAACAGGGAGTTGTCTCCCAAATGTAAAGGTCTAATAAGGAATATTGCCCTGCTGTTCAGCTCATTTTAAAATGTTTTCTGCTTTAGTCTTGTATTGCAATAAAATGTATGAGTTTGAATCTTGAATTGCTGTCCTAAAACACATGGAGAGCTCTGATAAAAAGTGGCCTGAAAGGATAAATTCTGGTTTTACTGGGTTTTGAAGTTGTATTTGTTCAGATTATTTTAGGCATTTGTAATGAAGCCTAAATATACATTGTATTTACAACTTACAAGTAAAGAATCACAGGTTAAATAGATTCTTTTGAATAAAATTTAAGATGTTAAGTGTAAATATTTAGTTTTAATGTTTAAGTTAACTAGTATTTAATTTGTTCCTCTACTTCACAGCTTCCAAAATTAAGATTTTGATAATGATTGATTTTGTCCTTGCAGCTAGCTTGATGGATGTCATTGACAGCTCTGTAAGTTCTAGTAATTAAATTTGTCTATAGAGTTTCTTCTAATTATTGCATACTTTGTCCTCCACTGCATTCACAATGCATCTCATCTACATGGGATGGCAGAACTCCTGATAGAAAAGATTAAAATTCATAACAAAAATGAAAGAATGGGGAAATAACCTCAAATGATGTTCAGTGGGGGCAAGTTTCCAATAAGGAAAGTGGAAACAAATGCATAAATATAAAATGGAAGATAAATGACTGGGCAATGGCACTGAAGAAAGAAATCTGACATGAAAGAGGAGACAATATATGTTTACTAAAAAAGGTATCACATCGTGCCTCAAGAGGCACATTGTACAGAAGGCAAACAAGACAGCTAAACTACCATTCAGGAGTAATGCTAACTCAGAATAACACCTTTAATTTTGACCAGCATACTTACAGAAAGGCAAACCCCAGGAACTCCTAAAGCAGTGGCTGCAGCAGTAGTATTTCTGGTCATTGACACTCAGGATGAAGAATGTTTCTGTCCTTTTCTACCTTGTCCACTTGCCATACAACTTTTTCCCCAAACAAGATCCAGAGCTTCATATTCTTGCTTGTTCCCATGTAACTACATTGTAACCCACACTCAGAAACAATGATCGAAGCTCCTTCACTTTCTAGCTCCCAAAACCTTCTGCTGTGTATTCTGCCTCACCAACAAAAACCCTGACAAAATCACACGTACTTGACTGCTTAAAATACCTCTAACCTCACCAACTCTGCACTGCCTGTCTTGGCTGTCCTTCCTAGTTTGATATTCAGGTCCTAAATAGCAGAGACCTGAGAGTCTGAATTGTTGATTCATACCTGCCTAGGTGGAAGTGGTTGCTGAATTTACAACTAGAAAACCATCATTGTTTATGGCTTACATTACCTTATGGAAGCCTTTTGTTAAGATAAGTAGTTTATAGGGGCAGAATAGGAAGCATCTGCCTCTGTAGCCACTTCTACTCAGTGGAGGAAAAATACTGCTAAATTTTACAGAAGCCTACTGAGAAAGGCATTGCAATTAAATGCTTTCTTTAAATTAATTTTCATTTGGAATATTGTGGTCTTTAGCTGACCCCGTGCATAAAACCTGGGAACATTCTGAAATTTATCCCTAAGTTTTCACATTTTAATCTCATTAAAACACTAATCTGAATATAAAGATCCTTTGGAGCTAGTTTGTATTCTAAAAGGATAGGAAATAACACCTCAAATAAAACTTTTTCATTGCTCTAGTTTTCATAAAGTATTCTGAATCTAATTTCTATCATTCATTTCAATAGAAGGTCCCTAGCTGCTAAATAATTCACACAATAATGAAATAGAGGCTGCGAATGCACATTAATTGCATCAGTTGGTTAAATATGGGGCTGCATGCCCAAGAGCAGAATTGTCAGCAGTTTTTAGATAATTTCTTCTCAATGCAGTGCAAACAGTTGTTTGACTGAAACAGAACAGGTTGTGTTCAGTCTGGTTTCAGTTGGTGGACACCCCTGTCTGGGCAACAGCCACAATGCACTTCACGTTTTGTTGAGTATTTCAACATTGTAATATAACTTTGATCCATATTAATCCAATGATTTTCGAAGAGTTATCCTGTGAAAAAGTGTAGTAGCACATTAAAAGAACAGTCTGGTAACCTGCAGATCTAAAAGCTGCATTGACCACCCTGAAGTTGCACAGACACCTTGTGATTGTCCCAAGGGAAAAATAGGTGTGGAATTCCAAATATGAGAATTGTGGTTTAGCAGCAAAATGTAATGGGATTTGACTGGAGTTGACAGAAAGAGGCTGAAATCAGGGAGAGAAAGCAAAGTAGCAGATACCAGTACTTTCCATATGTAGGTTACTTTCAAAACTATTTCTGCTCAATCTTTTTTTTTCTTATAGTGTAGTTACTCAGTATGGCTAGGCACTTCCTATTTACTCTCACTTCCTCATTAAAACCTCTTTTTAATCAGGAAATTGCTCTGTGTAATGTAAACATATTACTGTTCACCTTATAATGAATGTATTGTCTGTAAAGCAGATGAGAATCAGCTCAGAGTTAGTATTTCATTTTCATGAATTAATTCACATTTTTTAAGTAAACAATAAGAAAAGATCTATTTTAAATGCAAATTTAAGAATAATATTTAGAGACACAGCCTGTTGCAGACTTGTGTTTAATTTGTTTCAAAGGAAAGGACCTTTTATGGCAGTATATGGAGTAGTGTCATACTGAATTTAGATACCAAGTTTTTCTAAGGAATGATAATACTTTTTGAGACATTTTTGATAGAGGATAAGTCAGAGTCTGTACTACAGTGGATTTCCTCAAAGTCCCCTCTCCACGTTTGCACTGAAGGCTGGTCGTTAATGAGCAGTAAAGAGAAGGTCTCTTTGCAAAGCAGGTAGATGTTTGTAATATATATCTTTCATTTATTACCCTCTGTAATATATGAAATAAATTTAAACAGAGGTAGGAATTGAGATGGAAGTCAACATAGGAAATTGTGACCAAAGTGTTTTATTCAAGTTAAATTTTATTTATGATTTGGTTGGTTGGCTTTTTGTGTCACATGTTAAATGTCTCAATTTTTTTTTGATTTTGCAGTAAGATATGTTTTCCTCTCTAGGATTCACAGAAATGTTTTCAGGAGCAGATACGACTTCAGGGCCAGGTGAGGCTCCTGGAACATCGTGTGAAACAGCAGCAGTTAAAAATTACACAGCTTTTACAGAAGAAAGAGATTCAGTACAGTGACAGAGGAGAAGAAAACAGTGTCATTGACTTGGGAGGAAAAAGACAGTATTCAGGTTAGAAATGAAGTTATTCTTTTCTTTTCCATTCATTGTAATGACACCCAGAATCTTTAGCACAATTTGGCCCATTGACTCATCATTTTAAAAGGTCATTGTAGAATAATGTTTGTTTAAAACACAGTGTTCATCTTTTACCTAGGCCTGCTATGCAGGGAGAAATTGTTAATGTCAGATAGTGTAAGTCAAATCAAGATTGAAGCAGTTTATTGATTTATCAATAGCACATAAATAAAAACCAATCAGTGAACAATGAATATTAGCAATAAATAATTAACAATATTATGAAATGGATGAAATCACAGCATATATCAAGGCATCAAATATCATAAAGCGCCAATAAAGGCAATTAAAGGCTATTATAAGTCTGACTTCTAATTTTAATTGTGCATTTATTTATGTACTCAGCACCCTGGATTACTTTTTTTATTATTATGACTTATTCATTTGTTACTGGAAAAGGTTATTAAACCCACATTTATCTGAAAGGTATTGGTCCTTTCTTAGTATATGGCTTAGTTTATTTTCTTAAAATGCTATGTAAATAACAGATCTAACTTGTTGCCATTTCTGATTTTATTTTCTAATTATTTTTTCACTTTCCTTATAGCTTGGAAAATGCTTTTCCCTGTTCATACGACATTACTGCACTCAAACTGCTGTAGCATTTTGATATCAACAGAGCTGGATAATTTGAGAATTACTAAGAAATTGAGAAATTCCACACTATATACACCTACTAAAAATTAAAATATGTTTGTGTTTTGTTAACTTACTAAGAAATTAATAGACAAGGAAAGCTATTTTCTATAAGCCAATCAAACATTCCCTAGAAAGACAACTGCTATTTAAATCATGTTTTCTGTTAGAGTTTATTCGAATTGACTCTAATGTGGATAATACCACTGAAAATTAAAAGTAGCACCACTTAAAACAGAGGAATCATTTTGCCAGTCAGATGAAAACAAAAGTTAGAATATTTTATGGTGGAAAAGTAATCTTTTAAAGAGGTGCCAAAATAATTACAGCTCAATAAAGTTTTAAAGCAACAGAAATACAAGAAAATGCCCCAAAGTAATAGAAATGTGTTTGCAGAGGTATTTTCTTTTTATTAACCTGGTTCACATGTGATTTTTACATGATATGACTTGGTTACTGTATTGACTTGATTTCTGATTTTGTCACAAGTATAGGACTAAAAAAGCTGTGTGCAATGAATGTTTTGTGAACAGATTGTGCAGAAATCTACAGTGATGGCCATAAGGAAAGTGGATTTTATAAGATGAAACCTGCCCAGAGTCCCACTGAATTTCTTGCCTTCTGTGACATGTCTGAAGGAGGTGGTTGGACTGTTTTTCAGAGACGTTCTGATGGCAGCCAGGATTTTGATAGGTAGGTACTAGACTTGGTCATTAAAATTGGAAACAAAGTGGAGAAACATTAAACCAGATGGAGCTAAGTTAAATCTGAACTTTAGAAGTATGTGAACAAGTTGCTATCCCAGATTAAATGGAGGAATCGTTATTCTGTGGGACAACCTCCCAGATGAGATACCAATTCAGTCTCTGGCTCTGGCTGTCTTCTGTGAGACATCTCTTCTAGTCTTTTCTGACAGCTTGTGCACTTGACATGAGGACACTTCAATGTCAAATGCATTAACAATTGTTGGAACAAAGACCCTTAATGATGCGTAAAGGACTACCTTGTCTTTTGCAAGTAGTAAAAATCTAAAATTGTAAAGTGTAAGCAAATTGATGGAACCAAAATACCATCAGTATGAGAGAAACCCACCAAAAAGGAGTTTGTAGCTCATGGTAAAATGCCTCCAGGAAAGATACAATGAGTGAGAACTTGATTTGTGGACACCTAACCTCATTGCCTTTGCCAAGACTCACACATTTTTTGGGAAGTCTCCAGAAATGAAAATATGAGCCAAGAAAATTTGTATTTAGAACTTCTATAACACATGGTCAGACAAGCTACAGAAGCAATCTGTAGCATCTTACAATTATTACCCCCACACAACCCTCCTTCTTCTCCCTTGCCAGAGACTACCAGCTCCTTAAGTCGCAGCAACTGCTTTATCTTATGGCTGTGTGTCCACAGCCTTTCATCCACTGACTGATGTAGGTTGCTTTTGATCAGGGAAATGGATTATATTTTTGACCCATGAGAACACCTCATGGAACCAAAGCCATTGTGAAAGTATTTCACAGCCACTGTAGGCAGGGAAGAGATTCAATGTTTCAGTATATACATTAACTGTTGAAATGATGCACCAGTATTAGTTTTAAAAAAATTAGAATCAGTTAAGAACTCGAAGCTGGAAATGGCTAGCTAATACCTGAATTTACAATTTTATGTATCCAGCTGCAGGAGTTTCACAGCTTGATCAAATCACAGATAATAAAGAAACTATGCTTGTGGTACACTTACATATTCACTTAGACCCCCTAGATTTAATCAGGAAAAACGTTTTAATTTCAGGTAAACTGTATAATGAACATCCAAACAAACTTGCTTTTTTTGATAAATTAGTAATTTATACTCTTTTTAGAGTCTGGGCTGACTATGAAGAAGGCTTTGGAAATTTTGTTTTGAAAAATGGTGAATATTGGCTCGGAAATAAAAATCTTCATTATTTGACTAATCAAGGTAAGATTTGTATTGAAACAATAGCCTTTTTGTTTCTGTTTCTTTGCTCTTTCTGGGACGTATTTTGTTGCCCTTTTTTTTGTTAGCATAAATCCTGAGTTCTGTTGTTAGACTTCATGGACTTCTCCAAGTTTCAAAAGAAAAGACATTTGAATACATTTTCTACCAAAAGGTTCAAAACTGCCCTTGGGCCAATGGCTACAGAGAGTCCCTGTGAAACAGGGAACAGTAGACAGGAGTACACCTTAAAAGAATTGTCTTTATCCGTTTTGCAGTCAGCATCACTAACAGTTCAGAGCCAGGTAGTACACTATACCCATTCATTTAGTCAGAGCATTATGTGGCTGTGTGGGCTATTACATGAAGGTAATTCTAGGCTGGTCCTGTTGATCAGGCCAGTCATAGAAAGCTATTTCCATCTTTCTAATAATTGTTCAATCTAAGCTAACCTCTGCTTTGTTGTAGAATGCTGCATACACAAAACTTATCCATTGACTTAGCCACATAAATCATATGGAAATCAGTGCCACCAGGATATGATCCTAGTATAACTCTTATTTTCAGAGTATAAAAATCTAATTTTCTTAGGTGAATGTTTATTGATTGATTCTCACTATCCTTTCATTACCACCTCAAATACTTTACTAAAATATAAATCCAGTAAGGCCATTTTTTTTTACATTTTTAGATATTTTTTTTCACATTGGAAAATCTGTATGGGAATAACTGCACAATTTTCTAAGCTGACTCAGGTGAATTAAGGCAATGAATGGCAAGATATGCTTTAAGATGCATAATGAAAGAAGATAAAATCCCATAAAATATGCTGTGGTGAAAGAGATTCATGATAAAAACATAATATTTTGTTATTTTCTACTGTAATACTTAGTTCTGAAAAGTAGTGAGATTTGTGTTGTTATTTTTTAAAGGGAATTACACTTTAAGAATTGATCTAACTGATTTTGAAGGAGAACGTCGTTTTGCACAATATGCAAGATTCAGAGTTGCAGGAGAAGAGGTAATAAAATGTTAAATGTCTCAAGGTTTTAATGAAAATGTGACTTCTGTAGACAGACAATAAACATATAGTTTCCCTAATTTTCATAAAGTTTTGAGCAGAATCTTATTATCATATTTTCTTTCTACGCATGCTTGTAATTTTCAAATATGTAATAACAGTGGTTTACACTGACAAAATAATTTCACACTTTCTGTAAAACTTGTGAAACAATTGGTTTAGCAGCCATGGATAAAAGCAGTTGCTGACACTTTTGTTGATATTACCAGCAATAACGGTACATGACATTCTGAGTTGTTAATGCATACTGCAAACTAGCCCTAATATTCACAGAATCAATTAGGTTGGAAAAGACCTCTGAGATCATTGAGTCCAACCTATGACCTAACACCACCATGGCAACTAGACCATGGCACTAGGTATCATGTCCAGCCTTTCCTTAAACACCTCTAGGGATAGTCCACTCCCTGGGCAGTCCATTCCGATGTCTAATCACCATTTCTTTGAAGAAATTCCTCCTAATGTCCGACCTAAACCTCCCCTGGTGCAGTATAAGACCATGTCCTCTCATCCTCTCACTTGTTACCCGGGAGAAGAGGCTGAACCCCACCTGACTACAAGCTCTTTTCAGGTAGACAGCGATAAGGGCACCCCCGAGCCTCCTCTTCTCCTGGCTAAACAATCCCAGCTCCTTCAGCTTCTCCTTATAAGACTTGTGCTCCAGACCCTTCACCATCTTTATTGCCCTTCTTGGGACATGCTCCAGCACCTCAATGTCCCTCTTGTAGTGAGGGGCCCAGAACTGGACACAGTACTCGAGGTGTGGCCTCACCACTGCTGAGTACAGAGGGAGAATCACTGCCCTAGTCCTGCTGGCCACACTATTGTGGATACAAGCCAGGATGCTGTTGGCCTTCTTGGCCACCTGGGCACACTGCTGGCCCATGTTCAGCTGGGTGTCGACAAGCACCCCCAAGTCCTTCTCTGCTGTTTTATTATGTCATTTCTACATAAGGTTAATGACAATTTTTACCCTTGGTAAGCACCTTTACAGCACTTCATTATCTAGTACACAGTTTTAAGTGGCATGACATTTCTTAGCATAAAAATAGTAGCAAATGGGACAGACTATTTTCGTCTTTGTGGTTTCATTCTCTAACATGCTAAGGGCTAAATACACATGGGAATTTTTTTTCTTTTCTTCACATTGTTCATTAGCATTCTTATGAGATGGATTGTGGTGAATACTCTGGGACAGCTGGTGATTCCCTCACTGGTGGATTTCATCCTGAAGTAAAATGGTGGGCTGATCATCGAGGAATGAAATTCAGTACTAGAGACATGGATAATGACAACTATGAAGGGAACTGTGCCGAAGAGGAGAAGGCTGGCTGGTGGTTTAACAGGTATTTTGATTTTATACAGGTACTGTCAACTGTTCTGCTTCATGTGTATGCATGCAATAATAACATAAGATAGAAGATAGGATTGGCATTGTTTGATTTATTTGCAACATGCCCTTGTCCTCTACCAGAGATCTCAGTGCTGGTAAGACTGAGGCTTGCCTTAGAAGGGACAGCACTTACCACACAGCTCAAGCTGGTCTGTGATAACGGTATTTACCATAGGTCATCTTTGTTGTCAGGCAGTAAGGAGAAGGTAATTCTGCTCCTTTAAGGTAACTAGTCGTTACACAAGTAGCTCTTGCAGGGTTTGTAGCTGCTTCCCTGTTGTGCTTCATTCTTGCATTTCTCCTGCATTGCACTCGACCAGATGTGGCAGCCCTGCCCATAATCTGACAAGCTAAACTAGTACCAGGTTATCAAGACTCATTTTTTGCACCTCAGTTCACAGCGTCTCACTCTTGTTATTCCTTCTGTATGAAGATGGTGATGTGTCCACAGTTTCTGTCAGTGAGAGTGACTGGACTGAGAGGAAGATTTGTTTAAAAATAGACTTCAGTAAAAGAATTTTACAATTCTACTTACATTCAAAAAAACCCATTCAAAAAGAAAGGATAAAGCTGGTAGCCTTAGCTGTATAGATCAGCTATATTCTTTCCTGTAATTAATTAGCTAAAATTAGCTATGAAGAATAACTATGCAATCTAGCTGTGTAACAGAGAGGTTTAAAATACAGCTCAGGGAAGCATACTACTCTCTCACTGTGACCTCAGTTCACTTGGCAGGAGCTGCCAGGCTGGATCAACTCCATTGTTTCTGTTGTGTCATCCTTTGTTTCTGTTTTTAACTCCTCATTTTCCAAATTCTATTTCCATAACTAGTCTGTGACCACCTCAGCTAATAGGATGTAGCTATTAACTCAATGTTTCACAATTAACTATGTACCTTAATACATTTTTACTATATTTGCATGGATAGTGTGTCAGCAGAATGTTTGAGAGATATGGAAAAAAAGTCACATGTAGACAAAGGGTGTTTCGCATTTTTGAGGAAAGCTAAGATATAAAAGGAAAAGGCAACTATATTTGAATTCTTTTCCATAAAATCAGAACTTTTATGGATTTAAAGGAATATTTAGACCTCAAGTCGCATAAAACTCAGGTATCATGCCATGGAGTTCATTAAGAGTGAATCACAAATTGCTTTAGTCAACTGTGTCCATTTTTTGTCCTTTAAAACCTTTTTTTTTTTTAAATATTGGATTGGCCAGGACAAAAGAATGACTCCTTTGCAGAAGTGGCTGTACAGCAGAACTTGTCAGTTATTTATACCTTGTAGTTGGTGCTACATAACTACTAAAGATAGCTGACTCCTACTAGGCTAGTTCCTCCTCTTAAAGTGACAGTCTGTCTGGATAATGAAAATTAGTTACTAATAGTGTTATTTCACTACCTTGCACTGACTTCTTTTTTGTGTTAAGCCTAACATAAAACTGAATACTACAATATACTAGAAAATGTCGGTATCATTAAATCCTACTCAAAAGAATAGCACAGGAAAAACTCTGAGAGTCAGTAACATCAGAAAACCTGTGAAAGGACAAGCAGAACTTTTGTTTCAAAGGGAAGAACACTTGCAGTTGTGCCCTAATTAAACTGCTATTGTTTAGGCACACAGAAGTCCATAAGTGCAAATTTCTGCAGCTGTCAAACTGAGCTGTTTTCAACACGGCAGAATTTTTGACACAGAAACGACACATGCTTGAAACGTGTCGGCGGGAGCTCTCACCGCTGTTTCCCTTTTCTTTCCCACCAGGTGTCACTCTGCCAACTTGAACGGTTTGTACTACAAAGGTCCCTACGCTGCCAAGACAGACAACGGGATCGTTTGGTACACCTGGCATGGGTGGTGGTATTCCCTGAAATCTGTTGTCATGAAAGTCAGACCAGCAGGCTTTGAGCTTGATATTGTGTAATATTTTTATTAAGAGGTTTCACCTAGTTAATCTTTTAGCAAATCATTCCAAATTAAAACAGATGGGCAGATTTTTGATTCTCATCTATGCATATACAAATCTGGAATAATTCCTCTGCAAGCAGTAGCTTTATGAGATGTGAGAAGACAATCTGGCCTATGAATCTTTAGATACAAATACTAATGCTAAAATGTGTACAGGATATTTTTTAAAAGGCAAGTGTTCACCTAGCAATGACATCATCAAGATGAAGAATTTTTGACTTCTGCAGCAATTACAAATCCTTTCGCCTTTAAAAACAACAGTATTGCTCTTATATTGTCTCAAAAACGGAAATTAATTGTACTTATTACAATAAAAAACTATTTAAATACAGGCATAAGGCTAGTTTACTCAGTGGATGGAACATTCTTCCTTTGGAATGGTTCAAGACTTCAGAAGTGAGTTTCTTGTTGATTCCTCTGATGTATTTGTTGCATGTGTTGTGTACATAGCATACATAAAAAGGATAAAGAATGAGGCAGAGAAGTGAAGGAAGAGAAAGAATGGTACCAGGCTAGAATCAATTGAATCCAGCATAGGGAAGTGGATTGTCTGTTGTTGCTGAAGCATTTCTAGGGCTGGTCACATCATTTCAAGCTAACATTTTTAGATGGTCAGCAATTATGCTTTGCTTCTTCTTGGTAAACATTATGTCTTTCCTCCCTGGGCTGCAGGGGACTCTGTCCGGCTCCGACCGTCCCGGGCCCGCAGACTGCGGGCGCTGCCCCCTGCCCCTGGGGCAGCCCGCAAACCCACGAACGGGGCTGTTCCTAAGGAATGAAATACTACTAGAAAACTTTGAACAAATTAGAAGAACCCAGAAGAAAATACTCAAGAATAAAACAACTTTATAATCATTCATTATGTTAGTTCAAGCCCCAGACTCCCCCGAGCCCGCCCGCGC